AAGCTGGAAACTGCATCTCATTAGACCAGCCAAGCTCCAAAGTGGCCAAGACCACCACAGTGAGCCCCAAAGCACCCCAGGCTGGGAAGCAGCTAGCAGACAGGGCCACAGCACCAGTGTCTGCATTTCGGGGAGCCAATGCAAAATTTTGGGATGTAAAATTGCTGTTATCACTTTGCTGGTTTCATTGACTGTGTGATGTGCTGCTGGCAATGGCCAGGACAGAGTCAGAGTCCCCTTGCATAGCACAGGGCTCGCAATGCCTCAGAGCGAGACCCTCAGCTGTGTGAACCAAAACCTTCCTGAAAGCCCCCAGATTGCAGCAGCTGCTCTTTAATCCTTGTGATTAACAAGCACCCGCTGAAAAAGCAGCCAGTGGGGCTGTTTACAGAAAAGGGAAAGCAGGAAAAAAAAAAAAAAAGCCCTTGCACTGCAATTTATCTTGCAAGTTTGTTCACAAACAGCATCATGTGAAAACAAACAGTGGGTTCAACTACCTCCTCAGGATTTGCGTCAGATTTCAGATGTCGGCAAGACTGCAAAGTTCCTCATCCACTCAGCTGCAATGACAGCTGAGCTGCCTGGGTTGGTCCCAGATGCAAAAGCCACCAGGGTATGGACTCGCTCCCAGCACTGCCTGTGCTCCCTGCTGGGGTGAGGACATCTATTTTCCATTTGGAATACTCCTATTGCATTGTATAGAGATTTTTTTTTCTTGGGTGATGCATTAACCAGTGCAGACTGAGTTCCTCCTTTTCTTATCACCTCTCCATCAGGAGAGGGAACGTAAGGAAAGGAGGGTTTGGAAGGAGTTTCTCCCTCTGTGGTGCATGTAGGCAAGAGGGTTGGAAAGCAGGCAAAGGAGGATGTCCCATCAGGGAAACGTGCCCTGTGCTCGTACCCTATGCCAGTTTTTCCCAGGGGAGATATTCCCCTGGAAGTAGTTTAGAATAGATTTTACAAACCATTGGAGGAGATGGTCTCTCCGGGGTAAGAGCCATAAATTGCCTTGGGTAGGATGGCAAAGTCCGCCCAGCTCTTGACTCCAGCGACTTCTTTGAGCCTTCATGCTACAGGGAGAGCAGAGGAGATAAGCTTGAGCAGAGCTAGAAGAGGAGACAAAGCAATTTCCATCTTTAGGGAGGCTCTGCAGGTGCCAGCGCAGCCATGCAAAGTGTGGGGAAGCTGCATGGGAGGCATGGCCCTGGTGAGGGCAAGTAAGCTGGTTATAACAGATGAACCGCAGGAGAAGATCTGCAAAGCTGGGAGCTGCTTTTGCCTCTCTTAAATCGTTAAATCACAGAATGACAGAATCGTTAAGGTTGGAAGGGACCTCTAGAGGTCATCTAGTCCACCCCCCCTGCGCACGCAGGGTCACCTAGAGCACATGGCACAGGACTGTGTCCAAGCGGGTTTGGAAGATCTCCAGAGAAGGAGACTCCACAACCTCTCTGGGCAGCCTGTAATCACCCTGTTCGTGTCAAACACTCATGGATTCGGCCGCGGTGCACAGCAGCCCTTCGTCATGTGCTGACCCTTCAGGTGCCTCTGTCCCCAGAGGAGTCTCCAGCCACCAGCACTCACTGCTGCAGTCCCAACTAATGAACAGAGGTTTCCATCCCTTGCTCTGATGGATCCTCCTCTTCTATTGTCACAGTCCTGAACCTATTTTCTTTTGGCAAATCAAGGCTTACTCTGCCCCATGCATTTTCCTTTGCGTTCCTACAGACTTTCTGTACATGACGCACAACATGATCCGTGGCACCCAGGGCACAGTATTAAAGTACCTAAAGAAGCTACCCTCTGCCACCCTCAAACCAGAAATGGATGAGACACTTAAGGAAAGAGTGTCTCTGGCTTCTTCTTATGTCTTCATATATCAGTACTCATTTGGACACAGCTAGGACTTCTCCAGGACTGACTGGAGCAGAACTGTGATGATGCTCAATGTTAATACAGCTGGAGGGCAGTTTCCCTCCGCAAAGCCCCATCACTGTTGAACTGATGAAGCCTGAGCACATCTGGCCCTAGGGCAGGGGGTTTGTGTCCAAGGTGGGTGGCTCAGTGAGGGGCCACATCCAGGAGAGGTGGCTGAGAAGGGGTGAGACCAGATGTAGGGATTTCTGAGACACTCGACAGGGTCACACACCAGAGGAATGGGAGAGAGAGGAACTTGAAGAGTTGTCCTGGGCCATCTGGTTTCCTCAAATCAGGCCAAAGCCCATTCCTGATGAACACATGCCTGATCTGCTCTTAAAAACCTACCAGAGTTCATCCCATCACCACACTGTTTAATCCTGTCTGTTGCTCCAGAAGAAGGCTTCCTCATTTCAGTCTCTTCTGATGCACGCAAAGCCTACAGTTCCTTGTCCTACCATGTGACTGTGGATGATCAGGGGCTTGGAACATCTGCCCTATGAGGAGAGGCTGAGGGAGCTGGGCCTGTTCAGCTGGAGAAGAGAAGGCTGAGAGGGGACCTGAGCAGTGTCTAGAAGTACCTCAAGGGCGGCAGTGAGGAGGATGGGGCTGGCCTCTTTTCACTGGTGGCCACCGACAGAACTAGAGGAAATGGCCCCAAACTGAAGCACCAAAAGTTCCACAGGAACTTAAGGAAAAATTTCTTGACAGTGAGGGTGCCAGAGCACTGGAACAGGCTGCCCAGAGAGGTTGTGGAGTCTCCTTCTCTGGAGATCTTCAAACCCGCTTGGACGCAGTCCTGTGCCACGTGCTCTAGGTGACCCTGCATGTGCAGGGGGTTGGACTAGATGACCTCTAGAGGTCCCCTCCAACCTTAAGCATTCTATGATTCTCTTTGACTTTTCACTACTGGAAAAGAGGCTTCTTGTCTTCCCTCCAGCTAACCCTTGCTAAGTTAAGCAAGGCCATCTCCATCAGTCTTCCCCAACCATGTAGTGCAGATTTCTGCCTTGGCTTTTTGCCCTCCCCAGGGTTGATCGGCAGCCTTCCTGGAGCAGGCAAAGGAAAGGCTGAGAGGGAATCCAAGCCCCATCCCCAGCATCCCCTGGCCGGGGGCCAACACTTGCCCTGGCAGAGCGCATGGCACCTACTTCCCAGCCAGCCGGAGGATCCTCGCTTCACTATGGGTTCAAACCTCTGCAGACTG